ACTTATTTCTGGGTGTAGCTGGTATCCTCTGTGTTCAAGTATTTGGAGTTACTTGGATTTGCAGGTTAGGGGCACAATAACGCATCCATCCACCTGGTGAACAATGTCAATTAAGCATTTTACTGTGTGCCTGGGGCAGTGTTGGGGGGGGAGGGGAACGACACAAGGAAGGATAAGAAATGTGTCCCCATAATAAGAGGACCAAGTGTGGAAGGGAGATCCTCCAGGTCAGGGCCTCCCTCTTAGCCCTAGCTGGCCTCCAACTCATGCTCCCCAACCTCACCAGTGATGTCCCCTTGGTCTTTTTAGAGGTTGTGGGGCAATAGACAATAGAGTTGATTGGAATCTTATTTCCTGTTTTTCAGGAGTTTTCAGGGCAGTGGGGGAGGGTGTGAGTGTATTTGGCCCTCCATATCCGGCATTCCTATCAGAGGATCCAACCATTTTTTTGGGGGGCAAGGGGGCAGTACTGGGGTTTGAACTCAGGGCCTCACGCTTAGCTAGGCAGGTACTCTAGAACTTGAGCCACTCCCCCAGCCCTTTCTCTGTGATGGGTTTTTTCAAGATAGGGTCTTGAGAACATTTGCCCTAGCTGGCTTCGAACCACAGTCCTCCTGATCACTGCCTCCTGAGTAGTTAGAATTACACATGTGCCCCCCCACCCCCAGACCTGGCTCCCAACTGCTTATCTGGGCAAACAGTTTCACATTACTGAAAAAATATACTTTCATTCATTTGTTTTTATTTATTTATTTATTTATTTTACAGTACTGAGGTTTGAACTCAGGACCTTGTGCTTGCTAAGCAGGCGCTCTACTGTAGACTTTTTTCTTTTCCTTTTTCATTCGTTTTTATTAGGGGATAGTATAACAGGATAAAGAATAGGCAAAGGGGGAGGGTACAGAGAAGGAGAAACATTTCTTGCCTTCATGGAGGAAGTGGAACCAAAGATTTTTTTTGGCAGCACTGGGGTTTGAACTCAAAGCTTCATGCTTGTTAGGTGTCTTGAGCTACTTCACCAGCCCTTTTTTTGTGAAGGGTTTTTTCAACATAGGATCACAGCACTAATTGCCCCAGGCTGACTTCAAACCATGATTCTCCTGATCTCTGCCTCCTCAGTAACTAGGATCACAGGCATGAGCCACTGGTGCCCAGTGTTTTCTTCTTGTTTTGTTTAGACATTTTCTTGCCAGTAGTCCCTAAGTAATATAGTATATAACTATTTCCATTAGCAGTTACTTTGTCTTAGGTACTACAAATCACGTGTAGATGATTTAAAACTCAGAGGAGGCTGGGCTTGATGGGTTGTACCTGTAATCCCAGCAGTGCAAAGGCTCAGGAGGAAGGAGGAGCACACATTCAAGGCCAGCCTGGGCTACAGAGACCATGACCAAAAAAAAAAAAAAAGAAAAAAAATGGAGCTGGAAGTGTGACTCAAGTGGTAGAGTGCCTGCCTGCCAAGTGTGAAGCCCTGAGTTCAAACCCAGTACCACAAAAAAAAAAAAAAAGAGAGAAGGATTTGCAGAGGTTATATGCAAATGTTGTGCCATTTATCTAAAGAATTCAAACATCCTTGGATTTTGGTGTTAAGGGGTAGTGATGTCCTGGAACAATTCGTGAGGATATTGAGGGACAACTGTACACAAGTTAATAAATAACTAAAATCACTTTATATAGTGAGCCTTGAAGAAGAAAAGAAAGCACAAGCTGATGGAGTGACTGAAGTCATAGAGCGCCCGCCTAGCAAGAGTGAGGCCAAACTGAAACCAAAAAGAAAAAAGAAAAAGAAAGCACAACATGGCAGTGAGACGGCCAATTGCAGAGGCCCCAGGATGCTCTGATGCCAAGGAGGAGGGACTGGCAGAGAGGTTATTTCTTCCACAAACTCAGGGCTTCCCCAAGTTCCTAGAGCAGGAAAGGAGGCCAGTGAGTTTGAGATGGATCAGGTGGGGTCTTGTGATTATTGTGGCCATGGCACAGGCCTGCCGTCATGGGAGGCTGCAGAAGGAGGAAGCTCACTAGTGTACCACGGCCCATCACTCCACCTTTGGATGGAGCAGGGGGACTGTCCCGGGGCCTGGCATAACTCAAGATCGGTGTCTGGATTTGAGTCCTCATCAGTACTGGGGCCTCTGACCTTCTGCAGGGGAGGAGAGAAACATTAGCCTAACAATAAAGTTCTAACTTTAATAATTTTTCCTCAGCATCCTTTGTGGCAAAGGCAGTCGGTTTCGGAAGGGAAGATTTCATCCAGAAGGGTTGAAAGTGACCTCCCACAGATAGGAAGGATTACAAAAGTGAAGGGGACATCCTCCTTGGCCCCCAGCCTTTCTACCTCCTGGCATGGTCAGGTCATTCATTATTTTCAACATTTACATTTGCCAACCCCACCTTCTCTTTCCCCTCCTCCCCTTTTGAGTTCTCTGTTCAGCCTTCAGGTCACAGGTACACTGGGGTTTTTTGCAGAGTTGGGTTTTTCTTTTTCTTTTCTTTTTTTTTGGCAGTACTGGAATTTGAGTTTAGGGACTCATGCTTACTAGGAAGGCGCTCTACCACATAAGCCACTCCACCAACCCCCAGTGTTTCCACTTTTTTCCAAGTTGCTTTCAAAAAATGTTCATTAGGAGGAATGGGTACTTGGTTCTAGTAGTAGAGCGCCTACTAGCAACACAAGGCCCTGAGTTCAAACCCCAGTACTGCCAAAAATTAAAAAATGTTCATTGCAGAAGAACACCAATTTTTTTTTGTGTGTGTGGTATTGGAATTTGAACTCAGTCCCTCACACTTGGTAAGGAGGCGCACTACCAACCGTATCTCGAAAAAAAATCACAAAAAAGGACTGGTGGAGTGGCTCAATATGTAGGCCCCGAGTTCAAGCCCCAGTACCGCTAAAAAAAAAAAAAAAAAAGGAGCTGGGAGTATGGCTCAGTGGTAGAGAACTTGCATAATACATGTGTTGTAGACCCTGTACTAAATTCTCAGCCCTACAAGAAAAACAAAACCAACCAAACAAAAAACACTGTCCTAGACTACAAAATTCACCTCTCCAGCCCAAGTATTAGCAAAGTCCCCATTATGTCTTCCTTACTTAGCAAACATAGTAATTTTAAATATTGCTGTTCATAACTGAAACCCTAGAGCGGAGGACTACTTTCTTCTGGGCACTTCACTGCAAACTCCAAGCTATTTACAACTGCTAAAGCAGTAAAAGATTTATTTAAAATTAAAAGAAAAAAATTGTGAAGGTGAGTCTGACCCCCAGGTAAGCTGAGCTCAGAGGAAGCGGGTGGGTGTGGGCGGAAGGGAGGACTGGGTGGGGGGAGTGGTCTCAGATCCTCTCCCGGGCCCGGGGCAATGGGCCCTCCGCCTATATAAGAGCCCAGAGCGCGTGGCCCGACAGACGTGCGCGGTTCCTGTCTGTGTTCTGTAAGTATTGGCTGTGGCGTTTTGAGTGTTTTCTTGAGTGTCATTGTGTTTCTTTTTACTTTTAAACTTTGGTACAATTTCTCAAACATGCTTCCTGGCACTTTTTCTTTCCCCCAACTTCTTGGGGTCCATTCTTTGACCTTATGTGTGCTAGGCTGCCGGGCAGCCGGTGTACCACAGGCCTAAGCCCATCCCTGTTACCGTGTGTAGCCTTTTGGTCCTATTCCCTCTGCCTTCAGACTACGGCCCCACTCAAATTTGTCACACAACGTTCTGGGACCTTGGGTCCATTTGGGGGGGGAGGCGGTTTTTTTTATACCTGACCATGCCTGGATGCTTGGTTCAAGTCCACTCTTGCATGCTAGGCGAGCACTGCACACCTGGGTTACGTCCCAGCCCCAACTAACTTACTATCTCTTTTTCCAGGTCTCCTGCAAGGACTGGGCTGAGCTTTGCCTTCTGAATCCAGCTTGTGCTGCGAACTCCTCAGCCTGTGGCACTCAAACTGTGGGGGCACTTTTTGTTAAATCTGAAAAAAAGTGCCGCCAGTTTTTGAGTGTTACCGGCTGAGAAAGCGACGGCTGTGCTCATTGCTGTCAGTGGACAGGTGAATTGGATTCTGCCATGAACTCCAGGCGGGCAATCAGGAAATGCCCGCACTGTGGCACTCAAATGTGGGAGCGCTCTTCTGGTATGCAGGTAGAAAGTGCTACGACATTTGGGTGTCACTGGTGGGTACCACTCAAGGTGCCCCAATACTTGTGGTAGCTTCACCTGCTATGTGCCACTTGAGCACTACTGAGAGCTGAGTCCACACCAGAAACGAGATGCATGCTGACTTGTGGGGGGCAAGGTGGGCTGCTTCAGTTGGTGCTGGGAATTTGGTTTCCAGTCGGGAATAGCTTGAAGTGCCAGCTGTGAGCCTACACAGTGCAATGTGTACCCTACTAACCCAGCCTGGGTCAGCTTGTGCATGAGACCATGGGCAGTGGTTAGTGTTCTTTAGGCGTAACTGCTCCCTCTGCATTAAATGGTACAAATGGGATTTTTGTTGGGCTTTTTATGTGGCTTTGAGCTACATCTCAGTCCATTCTTGCCTCTGGTTATTTTGCATCTCTGGGGCTGGCTTTGAGCTGTGGTCCTGATCTCAGCCTCTCCAGCAACAAGGATTGCAGGTCCACTCCCAGCTAGTTTGCTCTGATTGCTCAGGTGGTGGTGACCAAAATGGACGCACTTGCCTTGATTTGACTGGAAAGTGCTTCCATTTTGTGTGTCACTGTCTGAGACAAGCATCCTGGAAATGGTGCATTAGCTCTACCCTGCTTGCATCCCCTCTGGAATGAGGGGAGGGCAGAATGCTGGTATGGGTCCTCTTCTAGAAGACAGGGATGGGTGCAAAGTGATCCTCTATTTTCTGAGGAATGGCTGCAGGGGAAATTGAAGGTTTTTAAGGGAGTTTAGGTCTCCTGGTTCCAACGCTAGCCACCTGAACCTCAGGTAGATGTGGGGGGCTGCTAAATGTATTTAGGTTGCAGAAGAATCAGCTATTGCTTTGTATATCCAAAAATGGCTGACATTTTAGGTGTGAATGCTTAAAAGTCCTTTCCTCCACCCCATTTGTGGAGCCTTCAAGCTGAATGAGATTTCAGCCAAACCGCCCCATACATAGCAACAGATTTGGTTTTGTTTACAAAAACAACCAGTTTACAGAAAAACAATTTGTCTGCACCCCTAGGTTTGGGAAAGCTTTTCAATAAATCTTTCAAACCTGATTACCTGCATTGTGTACTTTTTGCGTCACATGCCCCAGTAATACGAGCCACAAGCAAGCCATTGAAACTGGCTGCTTAGGTTAATCTTAGCAGCGTGGCCTGTCCTTTCCTGAAACTGGATACTCAAAAGTTAGACTTCCCCATGGTTTCCTGAGGCAGTGGGGGAGTAGGAGTGATTCCCACCTCCATGTGGAATAACCTGTGGATGTTAGGGTGTTGTGGTGGGGGTGCAACTGTCTTAGTCAAAACTAAGAGGTGCAGTGAGTGCTTAGATCTTCTGATGGCTCAGATGAGGTATTCCAGGTGATTCGGTACGATGGCATGTTTATTGAGGATTGGGTCAGGTTGATTGCAAGTGATTACTATTCACTTGTGTGGGAGGAAAACTGGACTGCCTTCTACACTGCACATTTGGCATTAGGTGATTCTCCCTTCCCCCCTCACCCCCGCAGGAGAGTAGTCTTAGTTATGCATTTTGAGGTCTGACTCTTCCCAAAGGGACAGTTCCTCAGGATATTAACCTCTTTGCTCCTGCAGTACTGGCTATTCAGCACCTAGTTTCACATACTAGGCAAGTACTGAGCCATGGAACTCCACCCCAACCAGCCTTCAACACACCTTTCCCAATAACAGGCAAATTTGGGTGCACTGCAGGGTGGCAAGCAGCATTTCTACTCTGCCCACTAGGTGGCAGTCACATCTGCCCCAGTAGTAAGTCAGCCTGACTCTGCCCTACTCCCACAGAGTTAAAAGCCTGTGCTTTTAGGTCTTAAGTAGGAGTTTTAAGCCTTTGTGGTCAGCAGCTGACTGTCCTGAATTCTCTGCAGATTGCCTACATCCCAAGTGCAGGGATACTTGGTTCAACCTGCACACAGTTGGTATCTGGTGCACCCCTGTAGTCCCTAGCACTCACAGAAGGATAGAGGCATGTGGGTTACATAACACCCTGTCTCAAACCAAGGGCTGGTCATATAGCTCAGTGGTAATGTGCTTGCCTAGCATGCCCACGATTCTGGCTTCTATCCCCAGCACCAGTAAAAGAAGCCTGGGCTTCAAGGGTACATCCTCCCATCTTCCATCCTGACTTCTGGGAATTCAGCAGCCAATGTCCAAATAAGGCTTGGTTACACGGAGTGCTGCCAGCCTCCTGTGAGTCATTTTATTCAGGTCCATTCCGAATAACCTGAGGACACAGAGTGGGAAATATTACAGTCGCTATTGTGACATTTAATTTGAGGTGTTTCAGCCTGGTAAAACCCATTATCCTCCAACACTACCAGAAAAATAGGTTTAGTTCTCTGCTGCTCCAGATTTTTAAGTGCCCAGGTTAAGTTGCTTCATTTAAAATAACTTTAGGAAAAAGCTTCTTTCTTTTTAATGGCAATACTGGGATTTGAACTCAGAGCTTTGAATTTGCTAGGCAGGTGCTCTACCTCTTATTTCCATCTCTCAGCTTTCTTCCTCTTAACAGGTGCAGATAAAGCAAAGCACTAAAAGGTAACATCATTTGGGAGCTGAGTTCAAACCCCAGTGTCATCAAAAAGTGGTAAAATTTCTCAGGCAGAGAAATTCCAGATTCCCATGGAGACATTCGAAAGATTAGAAGGTAAAACATGGGTTGTAATCCCAGCACCCAGAAGGTAAGGCTGGAGGATCTTTAAACTGGAGACCAGTTTGGACTACAGTGAGACCCTGTCTCAAAAAAGCTGGGGTGGGGGGCTTGCTGTTCAGTGGTAGAGTACCTGCCTAGCAAGCACAAGGCTCTGAGTTCAAACCTCAGTACTGCCCAAAAAGTCTTCACAATTACTCAAGGTCACAGTAGCAAGTGGCATAGGTGTAGGTCTCATCTGTATTCCACGTGAAATATGTCCCATGTTTTCCAGATTACCTGTCCACGATTTACCCCCAGACCCTGATCCGCAAGCCCAGACACCATCTCTCACCAGAGGACTCGAAGTTTGCAGCTGGGGTGTCTCAGCCTCCTGCACAGCAACCAGACACCTGTGTCCCCCAGGGCATTGTTGGTCAGATAAAGTTCAGTGAGTGTCTGGTTGGTCCCCAGGGTGGAAGAAAGATCCTCACAAGCTTTGGTTGTGAGGCCACAGCTGTCCAGCCTGTGGAAGACAGTGGTCAAAGCTACATCAGGCACTCTTGGAGGTAGTGGGGTTTGAATTCGCTTATGCTTGCTAGGTAGGTGCTCTTACCCCCTTGAAACACTCCACCAGCCCCTGGGGAAGCCTTCCTTTTGAAGGAAGTTGTGAAGTTTTCAGGGGACCAGTTTAAGAAGAAACAGTCCAGATTAGAGACAATCTGGTAGTGGAAAGCATTTAGGAATGGCATTTAAGGCCAGGCACTAGGACTCACACCTGTAATCCTAGCTACTTGGGAGCCTGAGGTAGGATCGAGGTTGTAGGCCAGTCTAGGCAAATAATTCTGGAGACCCCATTTCCAAAATGACCTGAGCAAAATGGACTGCAGGTGTTGCTCAAGTGGCAGAATACGTACTTTGTAAGCACAAAGCCCTGAATTCAAACTCCAGTCTCACCAAGGTATGGGGGGCAACCTATAAAAGGTCCTCATCTCATTTTGAGTCCTACAGGTTACGCTGGTGTCAAAGGAAGAGGGAAGGAGAATGTCAATTAGCATTTGACTGAAATTTACACTGGGCAAGATTTAATTTTTTTTCTTTTTTTGGTGTAGTACTGGGATTTGAACTCAGGGCCTATACCTTGAGCTACTCCACCACGCTTTTTATGTGAGGGTTTTTTTCCAAGATGGGGTCTTGAGAGCTATTTACCTGGATTGGCTTCTGAGACCTTCCACATCTCTGCCTCCTGAGTAGCAAGTTTCAGAACATTTTTTGCTGTGGGTAGTAGACTTGGCTTGCCTGGCATGCAGAAGACCCTGGGCTCAATCCCCAGTACCACCGCCAAAAAACAAAACTATGATTCTGCTGAAATAGAGAATTTTTTATATAGACAAAAAGCAGGACTGGAGGTGTGGCTTGAGCTTGTAATCCTTGCTACTCAGGAGGCAGAGATCAGAAGGAAGTGGTTGGAAGCCAGTCCCCCAGCAAATAGTTCTGGAAAATACCCAACACAAAACAGGGCTGGTGAAGTGGCTCAAGTGGTAGAGTGCCTGCCTAGCACGTGTAAAGTCCTGAGTTCAAACCCCAGTGCCACAAGGAAATAAAACCCACTCCCACCAAAAAAAAACCCAAAAACATGTTTCAGTGAACCAGTGCTTGGTGAAGCTCGAGCAAGGTTTGCCTGCACTTCCTCCAGGAGGAGTTATTTCAGGAACTCCTTCCATCTTTCCACCTCTACTCCTGGATTTTCCACAGTGAGGAGGGGCTGGCCCTTATATAGAAAAGTATTCCCACCCCAGCCCCACTCACCATAGCTTCTGCAGCCTGCACATGGGGTGCTGCAGCCCCTCAGTCAGCAGGTGCACGCCGGTGTCACCCAGGTCGTTGAAACTCAGGTCCAGGGCCCGCAGCCCGGCAGGGGCCTGCAGTGCGAGGGACAGGCCAGCACAGGCCGCAGGGCCCAGGCGGCAGATGCCCAACCTGGTAATGGGGTGGGTGGGTTGGCACCTGCCTGCTGCACATGCACAGGCTCTGCCCTTGAGGGAGGACAAGGCAGGGAAGCCCAAAGGCCAGGGACCAGGAAGGAAGCAACTCAATATACAGACAGAGCAAGGGTGAGTGTAGTAGCTATGCTGTAAGTAGGGCTTGATACTGGACTGGATTGTTGGCCCCCAGATTCGTGTCCTGGCTCAGTCGTGAATGAAGTCCCTGGACAATCAGGAGTTAAAGGCTAGCAAAGCACTCTGACAGGTGGGACTTAGTGAAAGAGCTAAGCCAAACAACGGCTGAAGTCTAGGAGATGATATAGGGTACTAACTGGCTTAGGTCCAAGTATGCTTGAGACTAAATTTGTGATTGCTTGGTGCTGAGTCAGCTTCTCGCTGAACTTGGCCACCTGTCCATCTCTCTCCTTATTGAACTGAGCAATCCGAGAAGGTCTGGTCAGCTTGCCCTGGCCTTGGGGCCCACATTCTGCAGCTGCATTTTGTTATTTTTGTTGGAGGCTTTTTATTTTTGTGAGGAACCTATTGTTTTTTCTAAAGTACCTCTCTCATTCAAAATGGAGTCACCTCTGTCATTGCTCCCCTTACAGGCACAAGTTTTTTTTTTTTTTTTTCTTTTCTTGGTGGTACTGGGGTTTGAACTCAGGGCCTCACACTTTCTAGGCAGGCACTCTACCACTTGAGCCACGCTACCAGCCCTATTTTTTGTGTGTGTTTTTGTTGTTTGATTGGTTGTTGTTGTTGTTGTTTTTAACTCAGTGAAGCCTACAGCTTGAGCCACTCCACAAGCCCTTTTTTGTGTTGGGTTTTTTCAAGACAGGGATTGAAGAACTATTTGCCTGGGCTGGCCTCAAACCATGATCCTCCTGATCCCACCTCTTCAGTAGCTAGGATTACATGTGTGAGCCTCTGGCACAGGCTTGACAATTATTTTTTGATGGTACTGGGGTTTGAACTCAGGGCCTTACACTTGCTAGACAGGCGCTCTACCATCTGAGCCACTCTACCAGTCCTTTTTAATGTTGGATATTTTTGAGATAGGGTCTCAGTGTTGTTGCCCATGGTGGTCTCAAATATGGTCTCTGCTTCCTGAGTAGTTAGGATTATAGGCACTATTCATTGGCACCCAGCTAAGAAATATCTTTTTTTATTTTTTAACTCCCTGTGGTACAGGTTTGAATTCAGGACCTCATGATCTGTACTGCCAGCCCTTTTGTGCTTTAATTATTTTTCCAATAGGCTCTCGTGATTTTTTTTTTTCTTTTGGCCTTTGCCTCCTCCAAGTACAATCCTCCTGCCTATATCCCTTTTGGGATAACAGGTATATACTACCATACCCAGCTGGTTTGTTGAGATGGGGGTCTCACTAACTTTTTGCCGGGGCTGGACTGCAATGTAACACTCTCCCAACTGAGCTATTTCAGCAAAAGTCTTGAGCTGGTCTTGAAGTATGCTCTCCCAAGTAGGTGGGATTACAGGAGTGAGCCACCTCCGCTGGCTTAACTAAGTAGGATTAGAGCTGTGGCTCAAGTGGTAAAGCACCTGCCTAGCAATGGTGAGGCCCTGAGTTCAAACCCCAGTACTGTCAGAAAAAAATAGTTGATTAAAGTGACAAAATTATGTCTTGTTTATGGAGTACAATGCAATGTGCAGTTATAGGTACACATTGTGGAATGGCTAAGCAAACTGACATTACTTCGTGTATATATATATATATGTGTATATATATATTTTTTTACTTAAGACCTTTATCAGCAGGGGTTGCAGTTTGTGTGACTATTTTTTTGAAAAAATCAAGTTTACTTCATGTGTGTTTTTGTTATTCTTATTCAGGTTTTTCTTTTTTCTTTTTTTTTGAGACAGGCTGGCTTTAAATTCACAACTTTGCCTCACCTCCCCAGTGCTGGGATTATAGGTGTGAACCACTCAACCTGGTCCAACACTGAGTAATTTAAAAGTGTCACTCATTTACTCCTCCTAACAACCCTGGGAGGGAAATTTGCCACTGGAAGCTGCACTTCTGGAATGCCTCGAACAATTCACGCGTGCCTGCAATTACTAATGCATGATGCTGAGGACAAGAATGTAATCTTACAGAATTATAAAATTCATAATTTAGACTTTATCTAGGGGTTAAGGAAGGCATCCACGGGGGAACTGGCATTTGTTCTGAGTCCAACAAAATGAGCAAACTTTTCTGGGCCCAAGTGTATACAGAATAGAAGGGCATTCCAGGAAGCAAGGACAGCTTGCGCAAAGGCCTTGTGGCAGAAAATCTTGAAAGGAGGCTGGTGTAGCTAGAGTTCAGGAAGAAAGGGGAGGTAGCCTGTCCTCCATGAGCACAGAAGAGAGGGCAAGGAGAAAGGATTTGGCTTCCTGCTCACCGGAGGGTCTGCAGTTTGCATGTGGGGTGCCTGAGGCCCTCACACAGCAGCAGCACCCCAGGGTCTCCCAGATCATTGAGGCTCAGGTCCAGCTCTGTCAGGCCCTGGTTCACATTGAGGGTGGAGGCCAGGTGTTCACAGGAGGCAGCAGTAAGGTGACAGATCTTCAGCCTGCACAAAACCCAACTGTGTAAACATGATGGACAGGTTTGGGTTGGTGCTTAATTTATCCCCTGACCCCAATCTTGAAACAAGTGCTTTCTTTTTATTTTATTTTTTTGTAGTACTGGGGCGTGAACTCAGGGCCTTCACCTTGAACCACTCCACCAGTCCTATCTTTGTGAAGGGTTTATCGAGATAGAGTACCAAGGAACTATTTGCCCAGCTGGCTTTGAGCCTTGATCCACCTGATCTCTGCCTCCTGAATAGCTAGGATTACAGTCGTGGGCCACTGGCTAAACAAGTGCATTTTTATCTGGGTGTGGAGACACACAGCTACAATCCTAGCACTTAGGAGGCTGAGGCAGGAGGGTTGAGAGTTTGAGACCAGCCTGGACTACAATGTGGGACCCTGTCACAAACAAGTACTGCATTTTCAAACCTGATTAAAATAATGGGAGCAGGCTGGTGAAGTGGCTCAAGTGGTAAGAGTGCCTGCCTAACAAGTATGAAGCCCAGAAAAACCCTTGAGCCAGGTGCCAGTGGCTCCTGCCTGTATTCCTAGCTACTGAAGAGGCTGATGATTGTGGTTCAAAGTCAGCTCAGGTAAATAGTTCTAGAGACCATTTCTTGAAAAACACTCTTCACAGGTGCCCACGGCTGATGCCCGTAATCTAGCAAGTCAGGAGGCAGCGATCAGGAAGATCACAGTTCGAAGCCAGCCCAGGCAAATAGTTCGAGACCCTATCTCAAAAACACTCATCACAAAAAAGGGCTGGTGGAGTGGCTCAAGGTGCAGGCCCTGAGTTCAAGCTTTGGCACCACAAAAAAAGAAAGACAATGGGAGAAAAGCCAGGCATGGTGGCACAGGCCTATAATCCCAGGACTCAGGAGGTAGAATCAGGATAATGAAGAGTTTGAGGCCATCCTAGGCTACACAGTAAGACCTTGTCTCAACAAAAACATAATAGCTCACTAGTATGTGAGAAGACACTCCATGTGGGCTGGGAAGTGGCTTAGTGGTGGACACTAGCCTGGCATGTTCTCAGCCCTGGGTTCCATCCCCAGCACTGAGCAAAAGAAAAAATAACCATGCAGCCAGTACTAGATACATACCCACCCTCAATGAGAGGTAGTGTTTTTGTGTTTTGAGATAGGGTCTTCCAGTGGAGCCAGGCTAGCCTCAAATTCTCCTCCCCTCTTCCTCTACCTCCTGAGTGCTAGGATTACAGACCTGCACAGCCACTCCCAGCTTCAACCTCTGGTTTTATTTTATTTTATAGTACTGAATTATTTGCCTGGACTGGCCGAAAACCATGATCCTCCTGATCTCTGCTTCATGAGCCCAGCTCAACCTCCCATTTTAAATGACCAATTAAATTATAAATTGGTAAATTACAGAGTGCAATTTTGCTTATCCACTGGTGGGCCCTGGGTCATTTCCACCTCATGGCTATGTGACTCATGCCACTGTGAGTGTGGGTGCTTGGTGCACATACAGGATGTGATTTCTCTGTTTTCACTCAGTATGGAGACCCTTGCTCTTGCCCTTGGGCCCAGGAACTCACCACAAGGTCTGCAGCCTGCAGACGGGGTGTTGCAGTCCTTGACACAACAGTTTCAGCCCCGAGTCCTCCAGGGCATTGCCTGTCAGGTCCAACTCCATCAGGTGTGGGTTAGTGCTGAGTACAGACGCGATCTCTCCACAAGCCTCAGCCTCCAGAAGGCACTTCCTCAACCTGGGGGGTAGAGATGGAGGAGAGGCCACCATGCAGCAACTCAGTGTCCTGATGTCACCCAACACAAACCTAGACCATGAGGAATTTGGTCCAGGACCCCTCAAAGGTACCCACATTTTCAAGGCTCAAGTGTCCTATGTAAAGTGACATACTACTCCATACAGCCTGCATGTGTCTTCCTGTGTACTTCATGTCCAGGTGACTTACGAAACCTAATATGATGTAAGTGTTATGCAAATAGTTGTCATACTGCGTTGGTTAGGAAAGAATGACAAAATTTTTTTACATGTTCAGTAAGATACAATTTTTCCCGAATATTTTCTTTTCTTTTCTTTTTTTTTTTTTTTGGGTGGTATTAGGGTTTGAAATTAGGGCCTCACACTTGCTAGGCAGGTACTCTATCACTTGAGCCACTCCAGCAGGCCTTTTTTGTGAAGGGTATTTTCCAGATAGGATCTCAGCTTTCCCAGATATTTTCAATCACAGTTGGTTGAATCCATGGCTGCTGAGTCCATGGGTACAGAGGGATGACTGTGTGTCAGAGATTAGGGCTAGGGGCTTGGCTAAAGTGGTAGAGTGCCTGCCTAGAAAGGGCAAGGCCCTGAGTTCAAACTCCAGTACCACCAGAAAAAAAAACACTTAGGCTTCCAGGGTCTAAGGTCATGAGTATAGCAGAAACCCCAATTTAGAGGGAGATATTTGAGGCTTATTTCCATTTGGGGTTATTTCAGCCCCAGGAGACATTGAGTTTGCTCAGAGGAGTCCTGTAGTTTAAGAATATTCTGGAGCCAGGTGCCGGTGGCTCACACCTGTAATCCTGGTTACTCAGGAGGCAGAGATCATCAGGAGGATCATGGTTCAAAGCCAACCTGGGCACATAGTTCATGAGATCCTATCTCAGAAAAAGCCTTTACAAAAAAAGAAAGAGTTGGAGGGGCTGGTGGAGTGCTTCAAGGTATAGGCCCTGAGTTAAAAAAAAAAAAAACACCTTTTGATGTTTGGGAGGCTGAGATCAGAAGACTGAGGTTTAAGGCCAGCCTGGGCAAATAGTTTGCAAAACTCCATCTCCAAAATAACCAGAGCAAGGGCTGGTGGAGTAGCTCAAGCAGTAAGAGTGCCTGCCTAGCAAGCGTGAGGCCCTGAGTTCAAACCCCAGTGCCACCCAAAAATAAATAACCAGAGCAAAATGTACTAGAGGTGTGACTCAAGTAGCAGAGTGCCTGATCTGCAAGTGCAAAAGCCCTGAGTTTAAACCCCAGTCCCACCCCATTGAGTACGATGAAACCACTTTGTACAATTAATATATGCTAACAAAAGAAAGGAATGAGTACTGGGGGAGAAAAGAACCTGGTGGGGGATAGATGAGGATGAAGAAAGGCTGGATTTGATCAGTGCATGCCATATGCACATATGGAAATATCAACTAAACCCTAACACGTATTGATGTTTTTAAAAAAGAGAAAAAGCACTCATTGCAGGTGGAGACACACTCACTGAATCATCTGCAGCCTGCACCTGGGGTGCCGGAGCCCCTCGCAGAGCTGGGCCACCCCAGGGATGCCCAGGCTGTTGCCACTGAGGTCCATGCGAGTCAAACTCCTGTTGGCCCTGAGTGCGGCGGCCAGGTCCTGGCAGGCTGACCCTGAGACACCACACCTCTTCAGCCTGGGAGGGGAAGAGGAAAGGGCCGGTCAGTTTTCCTGTGGCAGTTTTGTATCTTTCTTATCTCTTTTTTTTTCCTTCAGTACTGGGGTTTGAACCAGGACCTCATGCTTGCTAGGTAGGCACTTTGCCAGCCCTTTTTGTGATGGGTTTTTGTCAAGATAGGGTCTCAAGAACTATTTGCCTGGGCTTGCAATCCTTCTGATCTCTGCCTCCTGAATAGCTGGAATTACAGGCGTGAGCCACAGGCACCTGGCCTCTCTCCTTTTTCTAGGTTACACACATTTTTTTCCTTTTTCTAAAATAAAAAAGAGGTGGAGCTAGAATGCTAGCCTAGTATTGCATGAAGCCCTGGGTCTCATTGCCAGCACAGAGAGACAGAGAGAAAGAGACCTAGAAAGAGAGACTGAGACAGAGATGAGGTTGTCAGGGACTGGTGGGGGTGACATTGGGGAGAGACTACTCATAGGTATGGGGCTTCCTTTCGGAACCAGGAAAATGCTCTGGAGAGAGATAGTGGTGATATTGCATAATTTTGTAAATACACTAAAAACCACTGAGCTACACATTTTAGCTGAGCAAATTTCCTGGAATGGGAATTACATTCTGATTTTTTATTTTGTTTTGCATTTGTTCTTGTTTGCAGACAGGGTCTCCCTATGCAGCCCAAGCTGGCCTTGAACTCTCAATTCTTCTGCCCCAGACCCCTGAATGCTAGGTGGTGCTACAGATGCTTTTTGTTTTTTGGTGGGAGTGGGTTTGAACCCAGGGCTTCACGCTTGCTAGGCAGGTGCTCTACCACTTGAGCCATTCAGCCAGCTCCAATTTTTTTGTGTGTGTTACTGGGGTTTGAACCTTGAGCCACTCCACTGGCCTTTTTTTTTTTTTTTCGAGATAAGGGGTCCCGAACTATTTGCCTCGACTGGCTTCAAATGTCATTCCTCCTGATCTCTGCCTGCTGAATAGCTAGGATTACAGAAGTGAGTCACCAGCACCCGGCAAATACATCCAATTCTATCTGTCAAATTTTAAAAGATGGAAAGAGAATTCAAAGCAACAAAAATAATATACAATGTTTTAGTGTTTTGCAATCAATGTATGTGTTCACAGACACTGCCCTTAAAAGAGAAATGCAATCTGGTGCTCACACCTGTAATTCTAGCTATTTGGGAGGTTGAGATCAGGAGGATTGCTAGCACAGGCAAATAGTTCCCAAGACCCCATCTCCAAAACAACCAGAGCAAAATGGACTGGAGGTGTGGCTCAAGCAGCAAAGCACCTGCTTTGCAAGCACAAAGCCCAATCCCACCCAAAAAATAAATAAATAAATAAATAAAGGAGAAACTCAAGACCTCACTTTCCTTTTTAGTTTTTTTTTGCAGTGCTGGAGCTGGAACCCAGGCCCTTCCTAGACAAGCGCTCACCTACTGAGCACTCCCTAGTCCTCTTTCCTTTTTAAGGGTGAATAATGTTCCTCTGTATGTATACACCACATTTTGTCTATCAATTCACCCATGGAGAACATGGGCTCCTGAATACCTCTCTTATCTGAGAATCGTCGAAGTTCGAAGGTGAATCACCACCCTTAACACAAATATCAGCAGTGAAAAATTTATCCAGGTTAGGGGAGACTAGATGGGAACCAGGGAGACTGGGAGGGAGGGGATAAAAATAAGAAAAGCAAGAGACATGGCACCTGAACTTCTCTTAATCCCCTTCTATTAGGATCTGAATTGTGTCTCCTATAAAATTCATGCACTAAAAGTCCTAATCCCAGGACCTCAGGACCTCAGATGTGGCTGTCTCTGAATATAGAGCCTTAAAAAGGGAACCAAGAGAAAATGATGTCAACAGGGTGAGCTTTAGATTTATGGCTGGTGTCTTTGTAAGAAAAGGACAGTAGGATGCAGACACACAGAGGGCTGCCAGGTGAGGACATAGGGGGGAAGATGACCATCTGTAAGCTGAGGAGAGGAAAGCGGCCTCAGGAGAATTAGCACTGCCAACCCCTTGATCTTGGACTCCTAGGCCCAGAACCGAGAAAATCAACTCTGTTCTTGAAGATGCCCTGTTGTGGGATTTTGGTGCAGCAACCCTAGCAAATGATACCCATCCTCAGTGTGTCTTTTCTGCTGAGCCCCACAAGAAGCAGTAGTGGGACCATCAGAAACTCACAAGCCAGATGGGTGTGGTGGTACATGCCTATAATCCCAGCCCTGGGGAGGCTAAGGCAGGAGGGAGGAAGGGTGGAGAGAGAGAAAAGAGAGAAGAAAGGGAAGGAAGGAGGAAAGAAAGGAAGAAAAGAAGGGAGGAGGACCAATCTTATGGACCAACTGACTCACCTCAGGTTCTGAAGCCTGCAGTTGGGGTGTCTGAGGCCCTGGCAGAGCATCCTCATCCCCCTGCTCCCCAGGATGTTACGGTACAAGGCAAGCTCTATCAGGCTGGGGTTGGTGCACAGAGCTGCTGCCAGGTGCTCACTGTAGGCGTCTGGCAACACATTCCTCTTGGGTCTGTGGGAAAGACACAGGCTATTGTCAAATTTTTCTAGTCACAATCCAGAGAATCATTAGAGAGTAGTTTGAGAACTGATATTCAAGTAAACTGGAAAATCTAGATGAAATGGATAAATTCCTAGATGCATATAACCAACCAAAATTGAGCCAAGAAGATATTAAACACCTAAACAGTCCTATTACAGCCAACTAAATTGAAGCAGTAATAAAGAGCCTCCCTAAAAGGAAGAGCCCAGGACCTGATAGATTCATGGATGAATTTTACCAAACCTTTACTTTTTTTTTGGCCGTCAGTGCTGGATTTTAAACTCAGGGCAAGTACTCTGCTATTTCTGCCACTCTGCCAGCATTACCAAAGCTTTAAAGAAGCACTAACACCAATACTCCTCAAATTTTTCCAGGAAATAGAAAGGGAAGGAACTCTACCAAACTCATTCTATGAAGCCAGCATCACACTCATTCCAAAAACCCAATAAAGATGTAACCAGAAAAGAGATTTATAGACCAGTATCTTTAGTGAATATAGATGCAAAAATTTGCCACAAAATACTGGCAATAGAATTTAACAATATGTCAAAAAGGTCATACACCATGACTGAGTCGGTTTATTTCAGGGATGCAAGGATGGCTCAACATATGTAAATCCATAAATGCAATACAGCATATAAACAGATGCATGGACAAAAACCACATGATCCTCTCAATAGACACAGAAAAAGCCTTTGACAAAATCCAACACCCTTTCATGATAAAAGCTCTGAAGAAACTAGGAACAGAAGGAATGTTACCCATTTATTGTCACTAAATGGAGAACAACTGAAACAATTCCCCATACAGTCAGGAACAAGACAGGGCTGTCTGTTTTCTCCACTCCTACTCAATATAGTTTTGGAATTCCTAGCCAGAGCAATAAGACAAAGAGCAAGAAATAAAAAGGATTCAAATACGGAAGAAAGAAGTCAAACTATCCCTATTTGCAGATGACATGGTCCTATACCTAAGAGACACCAAAGACTACAAAAAAACTATTAGAAATCATAAACTCTTTCAGTAAAGTAGCAGGATACAAAATTAACATACAGAAATCAGTAGCTTTTCTATATACAACAATGAACAGACTGAGAAAGAAATCAGGGAAACAATCCCATTTCCAATAGTCTCAAAAACAAAGTACTTTGGAATAAATTTAACAAAAGAAACCAAAGACCTTTTTAATGAAAACTATAAACCACTGAAAAGAGAAATCGAAGAAGACTTCAGAAGATGGAAAGACCTTCCATGCTCGTGGATTGGTAGAATCAACATTGTGAAAATGGCCAGACTACCAGAAGCAATCTACATGTTCAATGCAATCCCTGTCAAAATACCAATGACATTCTGCACAGAAATAGAAAAAACAGTTGTGAAATACATATGGAAACACAAAAAACCTTGAATAGCCAAAGCAATTCTGAGCAAAACGTCCAATGCTGGTGGCATCACAATACCCAACTTCAAATTATACTAGAGCCATAACAATAAAAACAGCATGGTATTGGCACAAAAACAGACAGGAAGACCAATGGATCAGAACAGAAGATCCAGACATAAACCCACACATCTACAGCCAGCGAATCTTCGACAAAGGAGCCCAAAACACACAATGGAGAAAAGACAGCCTCTTCAACAAATGCTGCTCGGAAAACTGGATACCTACACATAGAAGACTGAAACTAGATCTCTGTCTTTCACCCTGTATCAAAATCAATTTAAAGTGGATCAAAGAACTTGATGTAAGGCCTGAAACCCTGAAACAACTCCAGGAAGCAGTAGGAAATACACTGGAACATATAGGTATGGGGAACAACTTTCTAAACAGAACTCCAAAGGCTCAGCATCTAAGAGAAACAATGACCAAATCGGAGTGCATCAAACTAGAGAGCTTCTGCACAGCAAAGGAAACAGTCACCAGAATCAAGAGACAGTCCACAGAATGGGAGAAAATCTTTGCCAGCTACTCATCTCACAAGGGTCTAATATCCAGAATCTAGAGGGAACTCAAAAACTCAGCCCCCAAAGGATCAACACATCAATGAAAAAATGGGCACATGAATTAAACAGGGAATTCTCTAAGGAAGAGGTACAAATGGGCAGTAAATACATGAAGAAGGGTTCAACTTTGCTCGTTATAAAAGAGGTGCAAATCAAAACATCACTTAGATTTCATCTCTCCACAGTTAGAATGGCCAGAATCAAGGGCAATAACAACAACAAATGCTGGTGAGGATGTGGTGAAACAGGAACACTTATACACTGCTGGTAGGAATGCAAATTAGTACAACCACTATGGAAAGCAGTATGGAGATTCCTCAAAAAGCTAAAGACAGAACTGCTATATGATCCAGTGATACTGCTCGCTCCTGGGCATCTACCCAAAGGAACTTAAGACAGGATACAATAGAAACACCTGTTCACCAATGTTCATCACAGTACTCACCACAGCCAAGCTTTGGAAACAAAGCTTGTTGGATCAAGAAATTGTGGTATAAAAACACAATGGAATATTACTCAGCCATAAGGAATAATGACCTGAGGTTTGAAGGTAAATGGATTCAATCGGAGGACATCATGTTAAGTGAAGTTAGCCAGGCTCAGAAACACAAAGGCCACGTGTTTTCTCTCACAGCTGGAAGATAGAGCCAAAGGTAAACATATACACAAAACAAGTATGATCAAACTCAGATGTACAATATGATTGTAACAATAGAACTACTCTATGGAACTTGGGGAAAGAGGAAAGGAAAAGAGAATGATAGCACATCAGTAATATCATAAAACATAAGATGTGACGGTCGAGGATATAAGGATGTGTATGGAAAGCTGTTGAAAAGCGGGGGTGGGAGGTAAAGGGGTGAGGGAGAGTAATGGAAGGGACTGAACAGACCGAAGTAAAGCACACCCACAGTGGGAATACAGTGAGACACCCCTTTAAACATCAATTTAAATAGTAACAAAAACCAGGACTGTAAAATAGGTACAGTGTGAGGGGGTCGGGGGTGAATGAAGGAGATTAAGGTGATGGTGTATAGTTGATGGACTTTATATACCATCATGAAACAGCTGAGAAACCTCTTACAATTGCTTTAAGTGGGGGTGGGTAGGGGACTGAGTGGGAGAGACGATGGGGGCAATGTAACTAATGTACAGTATAAGATTAATCGGAATTGTCACTAGGAATCCCTGCCCCGTCCCCATAATGAATATATCCTAATAAAAAAAATTTTTACCGGTCACTTTACAGTTGTTATGTTTGGCACTGTGTGTCACTTCATAATTAAAGAAGCATTGTATCATCTTTATTTTACTTATTTTTTGAGACAGGGTCTCAAAATGTAGCCTACATTGGCCTCGAACTGATGATCTTTCTGCCTCCATCTCCCAAGTGCTGGGGTTACAGGTGTGCACCATGACACGGGGTTTACCATCTTGATTTTTGCTTATTTGTGGTCTTGCTATGTACTCTAGGCTGACCTTGAACTTAGGATCTTCCTGCCTCAGTCTCCCAATGGCTAAAATTACAGGCTTGTGCAACCATATTCAGCTATCATCTTTATTATTTCAATTTAACTTCTGTTTTTTGTTTTGGCAGCACTGGGGTTTGAACTCATGACTTCATGGCCTCATGCTTGCTAGTCAGGCGCTCTACCACTTGAGCCACTCCATCAGCCCTAAATTTAGCTTCTGAATGAACAGTATTGTCCAAGTTCCCACAGTGAATGAGCAACAAACATAAGGAGGCTTGAATCCTTGGGTCAGGGATTGCAAATGGATTTCATCTCCCAGATCCATTCTGATTGGTTTTATCATAGTGATCAAAAACTAATACAAGCTGGGTGCCTATGGCTCATGCCTGTAATCCTAGCTACTTGGGAGGCTGAGATTGGAAGGATCAAGGTTCGAGGCCAGTCTAGGCAAACAGTTTGCAAGACCCCCCATCTCCAAAATAACCAGAGCAAAATGCATGGAGCTGTGACTCAAGTGGTAGACAGAGTTCCTTCTTTGCAAGCACAAAGACCTGAGTTCAAACCCCAGTCCAACAATAACAACAAAAAACCCCACTTAATATAAATATAATAAACAAGCATAAAAATCAGGAAGTAGGACAGGGTGGGGGTGGGGGAGAGGCATAGTTCAAGTGGTAGAGCACTTTGCTTAGCAGGTGTGAGGCCTGAGTTCAATCCCCAGTACTGAGAAAAAAAAAAAGAAAGACAGGCATTAATCCTCATTTTCCAAGCAGGAAAAGTTTCCATGCAGAGAAATGTCTGGCCCAATGTCACACAGTTTGTCAGTGGCAGAGCTCTGGGGTTCCAGCCCATGTGTGTCTGATTCCAAAGCCCAGGTTACCGGCTGGTGGAGTGGCTCAAGTGGTAGAGCACCTGCCTAGCAAGTGTGAGACCCTGAATTCAAACCCCAGTACTGCCAAAAACAAAACAAAACCCCAGGTTACGAACCACCATCCTCATTGTCTGCTCCTCAAGTTGAGAACTTTTTTTTTTTTTTGGTGGTACTGGGGTTTGAACTCAGGGCCTCACACTTGCTAGGCAGGCACTCTACCACTTGAGCCATTCCACTAGCTCAAGTTGAACACTTTTAATCAGAAAACATGAAACTGGAAGTGCTCTAAAATTTGAAACTTCTGGAGAGCCAACATGATTCCATGACTGTGAAAGATTCTACATGTGATATCCTGTGAGAAGTCACAGTCAAAATACAGATGCTTTAAAAATAGTGAGCCATTATTCATGTCTTTAATCATAGCTACTTGGGAGGTGGAGATCCAGAGGATGGAGGTTTGAGGCCAGCCTGGGCAAGAAGTTAGTGAGACCTCATCTCAACCAATGAGAGCTGGGTACAGTGGCTCCTGCCTATCATCCTAGCTACACAGGAAGCATAAATAGGAGGATTGTGGCCCAGGTTAGCCAGGGCATAAACACAAGACCCTATTAGTGAAGGACAGACTTTGGGAGGTCAAGGAGACACTTCTCCTCCCTAGGGAACAGAGTCTGCATCTGAAAGGCATCTCCACCCTCAGGCAATCCAAAAAAGACTGTAATACCCCACTCCTGGGTCCCCCTGCATTCCCCAATATGCAGTCTTTCTCTTCTCTTCTCTACAAATAAAATCTTTCAGGCCTCTGCTGTTGGATTCTGTCTGTGCTTTCATTCTCAGAGCAGGCTCAAGAACCCTGAGCACCTGAAATTCCTGCTCGTGTCATCTGTGCATCATTAGAAAAATAACTAAAGCTAAAAGGGCTGGAGCGCTTGGTAGAGCACCTGCCTGGCAAGCAGGGAGCCCTGAGTTCAAACCCAGTCCCCCCACATACATACATACATATTTGTATATTAAGGGCTTGGGGATGCACTCATTGACAGAGCACTTGCCTAGTACTTGTCAAGTCCTGGGTTCCCTCCCCAGTACTAGAAAAAAAAGTGTCTAACCATATATATGAAACATAGATAATTTCATGTTTAGATTTGAGTCTTATCCCTGAGATAGCTCACTATGTGTATACAAATATTCCAAAATCTAAAAGCAAATCCGAAATTTAAAACATTGCTAGGATTTCAGATTAGGAATACTCAACCTGTGGTACAGTAATCTCTCTTTTTTTTTTTTCTTGGAAGTACTGGGGTTTGAACTCAGGGCCTTGCACTTGCTAGGCAGGCACTCTATCACTTAGGCCATGCCCTAGTCCTGTTTGTTTCTGAGACAGGATCTCCCTACATAGTACAGGCTGGCCTCAAACTCAAACTCGCAATCCTCCTGCCTCAAGCTCCTGAGTGCTGAGTGCTGGGATTACAGGTATATGTCACCATACCCAGCTCTTCCTGAGTTTTACTGTAGTGGGCTCCAATTGATCACTGAGGCCAGCAGCAGATATTTACTGGATCCTGGGAGGGGCTTGAAAATTGGCACCCACCCTCAACAGTTCTTGTTCAGTGCAGATCTGGGGCATAGATACCTCAGCTCCTTTACCTCTGAGCTAGTAGGGTAAAGAGCCTCTGATGCCCTCTGTGTTAGGGGATTTCCCATTCCTGTGGTTCTTCTCCACTTTGTTGTTGTTTGGTAGAACTGGGGTGTGAACTCAGAACTCAGCTTCCTCCAGTCCATTTTTTTTTCCTTCATCTCCATTTTGGAGATGTGGTCTCAACTATTTGCCTTTGTTGGCCTCGAACCTCAATCCTCCTGATCTCAGCCTCCCAAGTAGCTAGGATTACAGATGTTAGTCACCTGGCACCTGACTTGTGTGTTTTTAGGAGTGCTAGAGATAGAACCCAGGGCAAAGCCTACACGAGCCAAGTTTTCTACTACTGCGTTACACACCCAGGTCTGTCTCCACTTTCCAAATAAATATTCAAACCCTATTTAAGAGATTACCACTTGGGAAGCCCAAATGATATGAGTCAGCTCAAATTGGCTCCTTCCTGCTTGACCACTGCAGCCCTTGCCCCCCCATGTCAAGGTGTACTGTGTCACCTTGCTTCATTTCTTCACAGCCTCAAGCTTACTAGGCAGGCACTGTTACCACTTTTATGATTTTTGTTTGTTTGTTTATTTTCAAGAGAGGGTCTCCCAAACTAATTTCTGGGGATTGGCTTTGAACCCCAATCCTCCCGACCTCTGCCTCCTAAGCAGCTAGGATTACAGGCTCCTGGCAAGGCTCTTGATAGTGTTTGTTGATAGACTAGATTCTCCCTGACATGAAACCTGATTTAGTCCCAGGGGGTATTGTTGGAGAGCAGGGTCTCAGCTATGGCACTCCTGACATTTTGGGGTCAAATAATTTTTGTCCTTGGGGACTGCCCTGGGTATCGTGCATGTCTTCCAGCACTTCTGGCTTCTCTCCACTAGGTGTCAGTAGCATTGCCCTGATTCTCAGTTGTGACAACTGACAATGAAGATATTGCCAAATGTGTCTGGGGAGCCTGGGAAGTAAAATCACAAGGCTTTGTACTTGATACGCAGCCATTCTACCATGTGAGCCAGTTCTCCAGCCCTTTGTGCTCTGGCTATTTAGTTTTTGGAGGAACTGGGATTTGAACTCAGAGTTTCATGCTTACAAAGTAGGCGCTCTATTGTGTGAGCCACACCTAAAGTCTATTTTGCTCTGGTTATTTTGGGAATGGGGTCTTTTGAACTATTTGCCTGGGTTGGTCTTGAGCCTTGACCCTCTTTTTATTTTTATTTATTTTTGCAGTACTGGGGTTTGAACTCAGGGCTTCACACTTGCTAGGCAGTCACTCTACACTTGAGCCATGCCTCCAGCTTGAACCCTGATCCTCCTCTTCTCAGCCTTCCAAGTGGCTAGGATTACAGGCTTGAGCCATCGGTGCCCAGCTTACTCTGGCTATGGTTGAAATAAAGTCTTGTTTTATGACTGGTCTGGCCTGGACCACGAGCCTCCTATTTTATACTTCCTGCCATAGCTGGGATGACAGAAGCACTATGCCACACCAGGAATTGATTGAGATGGGGTCTCTGGCACTTATTGCCCAGGCCAGTCTGGAACCATCATCCTCATGATCTCAGTCTCCCACATACATTGGGATGACAGGCAACAAGCTACTGCACCCAGCTATTGGTTGAGATGGAGTCTCGAACTTTTTGTCTGGGTTGGCCTCAAACTGCAATCCTCCTGATCTCCACCACCTGAATGGCTAGAATTACAGTTGTTCTTTGAGAACAAGTGGTTAACTGGCTCTTTCTTTCTTTTTGGTGGGACTGGGGTTTGTACTCAGGGCTTTGTGCTTGCAAAGCAGACACTGCCACTTAAGCCACACTTCCAGTCCATTTTGCTCTGGTTATTTTAGAGATGGGGTCTCAAGAACTATTTGCTTGGGCTAGCCTTGAACTGAGATCCTCCCAATCTCAGCCTCCCAAGTAGTTAGGGTTATACACTCGAGCCACCAGTGCCCAGCTGGTTGACTGGTGCTTTAGAGAACTTGGAGAGACGGGCCCTCGGATTACTTACGGCATGGGCAGCGTCTGGCCCCTGAAGGCCATGTCCTGCCATCCTCTTCATCCGCACTGTAGGCAGCCCCGTACAAGTGCAATACCATGATGTTTCTGCAGTTCTTCACACAAAACGAGCAGACCATGTGCTCCATCTTGGTGGCAATGTGGCTGACAACGACCACCTGGAAGTGGCCCAGGGCCTGCTGGATGAATTCCTCCTCTTGGATCTCATACAGACAGCTGAAGAACTCCAGTGAGCCATGCTGCAGGGTGGAGCCCTCACTGTGTGCCTTGCTCTGAATCCACTCCAGCAGTTCTGCCTTGATGCAAGGCGAGATCTTCCAGCAAAGGTTCTTCTCCAGGTACTGTCTCATCTCCTCGTGCAGGAGGCCAAACAGGAACCGGACAGTGAGCACCAGGAAGCTCCTTTCTGAGAATCCATATTCAGTCAGCAGCCTTGTCACGGTCTGGTCGGGACCTGGCCCATTCTCCCGACCATCTAGGATATAGTACATGGCTGCAAAGAATTCCTGGAAACTCAGGTGGATGAAGCTGTAGAACTTCGCTTGGTTGATGTCCTTCTGGAAGATGTTTATATTGAGGAATGCAGAGACATCTGCGCCATCCAGGCCATGTTTCTGCAGGTCCTGCTCCTCAAATAGAATCTTCTGGTTCCACAGGCCATCTGCTGCCAAAGAGCATAGGCCTCTCTGGTTGAGTGGGGCTTGGAGGGTTGGGGTCCCTGGCTTGGGTTGCATGAGACTCAGAAGGTACAACATGTACACAGCTGTGGTGGTCCTGGATGTTTGCCTTAAAAGCCCCCCACCCTCCAGCTGCTGTTTGAGGCAGGTGCACACCACCCAGCACACCATGGGCACAAAACACATGGTGAAGAGAGGCTCATTGTCCCTCACCAAGCTGAAGGCTTGCTTTGCCTGCTCTACATTGTGGAAATACTTGAAGAAGTACTCCTTTCTTTCTGCCTCCGAGAAGCCTAGGACCTCCACGTGCCTGGGGTGTTCTAGCAAGCCGTGGAGCTTCTCCAAAGCCGAGGGCCTCGTGGTGATAAGCAAAGAGACCTCAGGCAGCAGCTTTTTCCTAATTAGGCTGCTAAGAATTTGCTGGATGGACTGTTTCTCCTCCCACCGGAGACACCAGGGTCCCTGAGGACTGTGGAAAGAATGCTTGAGCTCATCAAAGCCATCAATGATGAAAAGGACACGCTCAGGAGCACGGAAGAGATCCTGGAGGGGTGCGCCAGGCTCAGGCCAGCAGCTGGAGATGAGATCTTGTGCGCTGCCCTGGGCATCGCTCAGGTTCATCTCCCTACAATTGATATAGAAAAGGTAATCGAACCTGCCTTGGAAGAGCCTCCCGTCTGCCCAGTCCAGCATTACTTTGTGGGCCAGCATGGATTTTCCTATCCCAGCTGCCCCCTGCAAGACCACCGTGCGAGGTGGCTCAGGGCGTTCCTCGTCTGGCTCGAAGAGGGTCTCCATCTGGATGGGGCTGGCCTGGTGACCCATGGTTCTCGAATGTCCTCGGCCTGTATCCAAGAGCTTCTGCTGGGTCCAGATGGGATTTGAGTGTTCCTTCACCAGCAGCAGCCGCGTGTACCGGTGACTCAGGTTGATGCATTCTCCCAGGCGTGCATTCCGGTCTTCCATCAGCCGGAACTTCCTGCGGACATGGTCCTTGTAGGATTCCCCAGGATCTGGAGGAGAGAGATGGAGGGTGCATGGGAGGCTCGTCAGCAACCTTTAATGAACTCAGGAGTGAAAGTTGATGTCGCTAGTGCCTGCTTGTCTTGCAGTGTCCTCAGAGCATTTCCTAGGGGCATTGTGAGAACTTTGGAACTTCCCTGTAAAGGCCTCCCCTTGTGGGAAACTGAGGCAGTCCCATGAGCTGTAAGGAAGGAAGTACATTCTCTATGCATTCTACTCAGAGGCTGCTCCTTAGGGCCGCAGCATTTCCAGGGAAGTGTTCCAAATACCTACTGATTCGAGGCTGTCTTTTTTGGGGTGGGGTGGGGAAGGAATTGGGGTTTGAACTCAGGGCTTCTCACTTGCAAAGCAAGCTTGAGTTACACCTCCAGTACATTTTACTCTGGTTATTTTGGAGATGGGGTCTCAAACTGTTTGCCCAGGCTGGCCTCTAATTGCAATCCTCCTGATCTCAGCCTTTGAGTAACTAGAATTACAGGCATGAGGCTGGGCACCGGTGGCTCACACCTATAATCCCAGCTACTAGGAGGAGGCAGAGATCAGGAGGATCTTAGTTCAAAGCCAGCTGGGGCAAATAGTTCATGAGACCCTATCTCAAAAAAACCCATCACAAAAAAGGGTTGGTGGTGAAGTAGTTCAAGGTGTAGGCCCTGAGTTCAAACACCAACAGTGGAAAAAAAAAGAAAGAAAGAAAGAAGAATTACAGGCGTGAGCCAGGGGTTCCCGGCTCAAGGTTGCCTTTTAACGAGGCTGCCACTTGGTTTGCCTGCACACTCAAGTCTGAGAAGCAGAACTCGCCTTCCTTGTGCTCCCTTCCACAATAGGCAGGTGCACTGTGCAGTGGAGGAGGAGACTTGATCGGTCCCAGAAATCCTTTGCTCAGCTCCCTTGGGAGAAAGCCTACTAGGCAGAGATATTTATTTGTTTGGTTCTGATGATTATTTATTTATTTTAGTGCTGGGGTTTGAACACAAGGCCTCATACTTACTTAGGCAAGTGCTCTATCACTTGAGCCATTTATTTATTTATTTATTGTGGTTTTTTTTTTTTTTTATTTTTATTGTTTTACTTATTTTTTAGATAGAGGCTCACCTTTTGCCTGAGCTGGCCTTGGACTTCAGATGTCAATCTTCAGACCTAAGTCACCCTTGCAGCTGCGATTACAGGCACATCCCATGATGTCCCCCTTGTTCTTTGAGTCCTTCCTTCCTCCCTCCCTCCCTCCCTTTGTCTCCCCTTCTCTCTTTCTTTCTTTCTCAGTGCTGGGCATAGAACTCAGAGCCTCATGCACGGGAGGCAAGTTCTCTATCATTGACCAACCTTTTTTTTGGCAGCACTGGAGTTTGAACTCATGGCTTCAAGCTTGCTAGGTAGGTCCTCTACCACTTGAGCCACACCCACTCCACCAGCCCTTCCTAATTCACCGTGTGAGGTGTTTTGGTAGACATCTTTCAACCCTGAGGTGATAAGTTTTAGGACAAACTGCTGACATAGAGGTTGATGGAACTGAAAGCAGAAAGGAGTTGGGGCTTCGAAGGTGCTAATCCATCATACAAACCCTACCACTGCCTGCCCAAGACTTTTTGTCATATTAAAACACTAAATAAATATCCTTTCTGCCAGACTCACCCACAGGTAGATAGCTGGTTACACGTAGCTCGTACTCCTGAATGGATATGCCGTTTGTGGCTTACCTTTTCTTGGAGGGCCAGGATGGACTTCCGGAAAGCATGCTGATTGGCTCCCAAGTGAGCATGGGCCACCAGGCGGAGTAACTGGAAAAGGAATTTGGGAAGATCAGCTAGCAAACATCCAGCTGTCAAGCTACTTTTACTCCAACATGCCTGCATAGCCCTCTGCCAACCACACCTGAGATGTTTGGTATTCACTTTAAGTGCTCTGTGTTAGAAACTTACATTCTAATTGTATAGGAAGCTCAGTATATGAAAAATAAACACCCAAGAGACTAGAGGCTAAAGTGATGAAGTGCCTGCCTCAAAAGTATAAATTCCAACCCCAGTGCCACCAAAATAAAAAAAATAAAAGCAAACACCCCAAGTCAGGCACAGTGCCACACACCTGTCTGTAATCCCAGCTACTCAGAAGGCAGAAGCAGGAGGACTACAAGATCAATGCCAGCCCAGACAGAAGTTAGTAAGGCCCTATCTCAAAAACAAAATAGAACACAAAAGGACTGGAGTCGTGGCTCAAGTAACATATGCAAGGCCCAGGTTCAATCTCTACTACTGCATAAAGTAAGAACAGCCAATATAATTTCAGATACCAAATGATAAAAGTTGTGTCTAAAAATCAAACAAGCCAGGGGCTGGTGGCTCAATACTGTAATCCCAGCTACTCAGGAGGCAGAGATCAGAAGGATCAAGGTTCAAAGCCAGCCTGGGCAAATAATTCATGAGACCCTATCTCGAAAAAACCTTCACAAAAAACGGCCTGATAGGCTGGAGGCATGGCTCAAGTGGTAGAGTGCCCTGCCTTGCAAGCACAAGGTTATTTATTTATTTATTTATTTATTTATTTATTTTTAAGCACAAGGTCTTGAGTTCAAACCCCAGTACTGCAAGAAAAAAATCTGATCATAGCAGGTTGTTAGCCTCTGTCCACGGGTACTGCTTGCAGTTTGCAGTACTGGGGATGGAACTCAGGGCCTCATGCATGCTAGGCAAGCACTCTACTATTGAGCTACACCCCCAGGCTCTTATTTTAAAATTTATCTGTATTGTATATATTTTTTGGCAGCACTGGGGTTTGAACTCAGGATCTTGTGCTTGGTAGTCATGCACTGTACCTCTTGAGTGATGCATCCAGTATCCCTAGCCTTGTTTTTTTTAATAAATTTTTATTAGGATATATTCATAGTGGTAATTTCAATTAGACTTATACATTAGTCATATTGCACCCATTGTCTCTCCCCCTCAACCCCCTCCCCACCCTTTCCTAGTCCTTTTTAGTTTTTATTTTGAAACAGGGTCTTGCTAAGTTGCTCCGGTTGTCCTTAAATATGTGCTCTTTCTGCTGAAGCCTCTGGTGTAGTTAGGATTACAGGCATGCACCACCATGCTTGGCTCAGTCTTTGTTTGTTTGTTTGTTTGGACTGTGGTTTGAACTCAGGGTTTCACACTTGCAAAGCAGGTGCTCTACCACTTGAGCCACTCCTCCAGTCCATTTTGCTCTCATTTTGGAGATGGGATCTCTCAAGCTATTTGCCCAGACTGGTCTTGAACCTTGATCCTCCTGATCTCAGCCTCCCAAGTTGCTAGGATTACAGATGTGAGCCACTGGTGCCTACTGCCTGGCTCATTCTTGGAAAATATTTGAAGGTCCCTTGGGCTTGGAGAATGTGAGTTGAACCACATCTGTATGTAGAGACATAAGGAAAATTGAAATGGTATCAGCAATAAAAGAAGAAAAAAAGCATAAATGTGCTTGCAATTTTGCATAATTACACTTAATTACACAGACTTTGCATAGTTATTTTAAGACATGGACATAATGTACAAGTATAGAATAAAAAATAAAATTCTTCTCTTCTCTCTCCTGCCTAAATTTCTCCCAGCATTAACAACTGAGAAACATTTGCTGAGCTCCTTCTCCACACTATCCTTTTTTTCCTTTTTTTTTTTTTTTGCAGCACTGGGGTTTGAACTCAGGGCTTCACACTTGCTAGTCAGGTGTTCTTACCACTCCGCCAGCCTTTCTTTTTCTTTTCTATTCTCTGTTTGTTTTTTTTTTCAGACAAAGTCTTGCTATCCTAGAATTCACTGTGTAGCCCAAGCTGGCCTCAAACTCACAATGTTCCTGCCTTCCTCCTCAGCACCAAAAAAATAAAAATAAAAACCTCTAAGAATGGGACAGAGAAGGAGTTGTTTAAGACAGTACTGAAGAAACCTTAAGAAGAGCCTTTTGTTAGGAACTGGTGGAGTGGCTCAAGCTATAGAGTACCCGCTTGGCAAGTGTGAGGTCCTGAGTTCAAACTCCAATACTGCTAAGGGGGCGGGGGAAGAACCTATTGTTAAATTTCTGCAAATTACAAGCCGGATGACTTTACTGTGGTGACTTGATATCTGTTACTAAATTAACAAATGCTGTGAACAAACAAGGGCCCTTGTTTTATCAGAGTCCTTAAAGACTTATCCCTGGGGATGTTAAATGTTTCCCAGCACAGCTCTGCCACCACACCTGGTCACCTATGAGTCACTAAGCTTTACAGAAGTGATTGTGTATGGCCAGTTACTGGCAGGACTTGATTATTCATTCAACAAACATTCCACAGACAGACTGTTAACAGCCATCGGGATTGAATCAAACAGAATTAAGTGGAGAAGTCAAAACTCTCTCTGTTCTGGAGGTGGTCCATGTCCCCACACAGGTGATGAATGACATTAAAAACCCAAGCTCAAGCAACCTCTTGGCTACTTCCAGCAGTAGGTGTTGTATGCTGAGTACTTACAACATACAAGTGAGTGTTAAGCCCTGTACATGGGTTACATTTTATGAATTTTTTTGGTGGGGGACAGGGTCTCTTCAACTCTCAATTCTTCTACCTCAGCCCCCTGAGTGCTGGGATTACACGAATGCACCACCATACCTGTCTGCTTGTGAATTTTTATCTGAGAGCAAATACTGTTTTTTTCTGAGCTTTAGTTTTCTCCTGTATATATTAGGGGTAATAGTAATACATTTTGAATGTGGTCTGTGTTGCCACATCGCTACACTGAAAGGATGCCTTAGCAGAGAAGGGAATTAATAAACATTGGTGCCCTAAGCACCTAAGGGTGCTGAGGAAGCAGAAAGTGGGGTTCCTAAGCCAGTTAGGTGGTCAGGGGCAGAGTGCAGAAAAGGGGGGGAAGGGCAGTAAGGAATTTACAGGATCACGCATGTAATCCTAGCCACTCAGGAGGCAGAGATCAGGAGGATCAAAGTTCAAAGCCAGCCCAGGCATAGTATGGGAGAGCCCATCTCAAAAAAATCCATCACAAAAAAAGGGCTGGTAGAGTGGCTCAAGGTGAAGGCCCTGAGTTCAAACCCTAGTACTGCAAGGAAAAAAAAAAAAAGAAGAATTTACAGAGAAGGTAGTACAGGTGATTGTGTGCATCCTTAATCTAAAATCTGAAATGCTTGGAAATACAATTTTTTTTTTTTTTTTGGACAATTCAGGGCCTCATGCTTGCTAGGCAGGAACTCTACCACTTGAGTCACTCCACCAGTCTGGAAATACAAAATTTTTTGAGTGCTGAGATGACATTGCAGTGGAAAATTCCACACCTGAACTCATGTGACCAATCACAATTAAAACTTAGACACAGCCAGGTGCTGGTGGCTCAGGCCTGCAATCCTAAGTACTTGGTGTTTTTTTTTTTCTGGTGGTACTAGGGTTTGAACTTAGGGCCTCATCCTTGCTAGGCAGGCACTTTACCTCTTGAGCCACTCCACCAGCAGAAGGGTTTGTTGGATTTTTGTTGTTTGTTTGTTTTGTTTTGTTTTTGGAATCCTAGCTACTTGGGAGGCTGAGATCAGGGGGATCAAGGTTGCCCTGGCAAATAGTTCTCAAGACCCCATCTCCAAAATAACCAGAGAAAAATGGAATGAAGTTGTGTCTCAAGCAATAGAGCACCTGCTTTGCAAGCTCTAAGCACTGAGTTTAAACCCCAGTCCCAATAAAAACAAAAACCCCAGTCCCACTAAAAACAAAAACCCCAGTCCCACTAAAAACAAAAGCCCCAGGCACACTAAAAACACTGCATAATGTTGCCTTCAGGGTACCTGCATAAGGTACACATGAAGCATAAATTAACTTTTGTGTTTACGATTGGGTCCCATTGCTAAGATATCTCATCATGTAAATGCCAATATTTCAAACAAAAATCTAAAATCTGAAACACTTCCAGTCCCAAGAATTTTGGAAAGAAGGAAGAAAGGAAAGGAGGGAGGGAGGGAGGGAGGGAGAGAGGGAGGGAGAGAGAGAAGGAAGGAGAGAAAGAAAGAGGAAGAAAGGAGGGAGGGAGGGAAAGAAAGAAAAAGGAAATTCAAGCAAAAAAGATGGAGGGTGTTCTGGGCAGAAGGCAGCATGAGCAAAACCAAAGGGCTGAAATGGGAACTCCAGGTCTCAGGATTAGGGTGACCTGATAGATAAGGGAATTGGTGGGTTCCAGGCTCCACCGTCCCGCCACCTCCTTACCCCTCACCAGATCCTCTTTCTGTCCTCTCTCCCATAGGTCCTTCCTATGGATCCGCTCAAAGATACTGAGAGTCAACAGCCAGGCTTCCCTTGTCCCCAAATGGGCCACCAGTAGCTGGGCCATTTCCAGGGGACCAGCCATCTCCATCCGTCCCCAGGGGATCTTGTCCTGGCCCAATTCCTGGGCAGTCCCCAGGTATAATTTGAACTTCTTCAATTCCACAGCCTCAAGTTCTTCCAGGTAGGTGGACAGGCGACAGAGGCCATCCCCAGCTGTGATTGGCAGCATGGGGGCACTACAGAGGAGCTGGAGACTCTGATGTCTCTCTTCATAGAACAAGTGGTAATTCCAGCCTGCCCACTGGGCTCATTTGCAGGCAGAAGGAAGGAGAGGCCACTGCTGGTGGTTGTAGGACTGAGAGGAGAGGGAGAGCAGAAAGACCTTCTACAGAAATCATGCTTTCTCACCTCTCAGTTCCCTCCTGCTGCCCTCTCACCAATGGGCATTTGCGCTAAAGAGTGGGAAGTTGGGGAGGTTAAGAAATCACAGGCGTCCTAGAGGGTGAGAAAGATTTTCACTTCTGCTCTGTCTTCCTGACTTCCTTGACAAAGCAGCCAATCTTGTTTATTTTGTTTGCTTTATGAAACAAGGTCTCAATATATAGCCCAGGCTGTTCTGGAACTCCAGATCCTCCTGCCTCAGCCTTCCTCTTATAATTGTGTGCCATGGTGCCCAACCAAATGGCCACTCATTTTTATTCTTGCTCCTGTCTTCTTTGTCTACACTGCATATTCAATCTCTCCAGGGAGATACAGCAGAAGTCACACAGAGCCAGCCACCAGTGGCTCACACCTGTAATCCTAGCTACTCAGGACACAGAGATCCGGAGGATTGTGGTTCAAAGCCAGCCCCTGACAAATAGTTTGTAAGATACTATTCTGAAAATGCCAAACACAGAAAAAGGGCTGGCAGAATGACTCAAGCAGTAGAGTGCCTGTCTAGCAAGTGTGAGTTCAAACCCCAGTACCACCAGAAAAGAAAAAAAAAAAAAATCCACACAGAGCTAGGTGCCAGTGGTTCCTGCCTGTAATCCTAGCTACTTGGGAGGCTGAGGTCAGGAGGATCAAGGCTCAAGGCCAGCCCAGGCAAATAGTTGGAGAGACTACATCTCCACATCTCCAAAATAACCGGGCAAAAAGGTCTAGAGGTGTGACTCAAGTGCTAGAGCACCTGTTTTGCAAGTGCCAAATCCTGAGTTCAAACCCTCATCCCACCAAAAAAAAAAGAACAACATGGCCCAGTGTGGTGCCACACATCTAAAATCCCAGCACTTGGGAGGCTGAGGCAGTAATCACAGGAAATTCCATAAGAGAGAGGCAGGAAGGGCCGAGGTGTAGCTCCTAGCATAGGCAAGGTCCTAAATTCCATCCCCAGCACTGGAGAGAGAGAGAGGAGAGAGAGAGAGAGAGAGAGAGAGAGAGAGAGAGAGAGAGAGAGAGAGAGAGAGAGAGACAAAGAGGATGAGAAGAGGAGAGGAGAGGAGAGAAGAGAAGAGAAAGGGGCAAGGCAAGAAGCAAAAGTTGGAGGATATGATTGTTGACTGGGGGACCATCATTAGAGGAATAAAGGAAACTTCTAGAACTGGAAAGGGGAATGAATTCTTTGGGTTTTTTGGTCTCACACTTGCTAGGCTTGCTAGGCAGGAGCTCTACCACTTGAGCCACTCCACCAGCCCAGGAAATGAATTCTTGCCTAAAACCTCCAAAAGGACATAACCTGCTAGCACCTTAATTTTGGTTCTGTTTTGAAGTTTTGACTTACAAAATCTCAAGATTTTTTTTTTGGGGGGGTAGCTTTTACAGCAGTGATAAGACACTAATACAAATTATTTTTCAGCTTAGTATAGGGATGAAGAGAACATAGATGGGGGCTGTAGTTAACTGGCTCATGATGAACTTGGAAGAAAGACGTCAGCAATGTTGCTGTGTCACTAACATGTGCCTCTTATGTCTTACTGCAGTGTACCTTGGCAAAATCAGCTGATGTGATGATTTTGCTTATTAGTTCTTTGTGCATGTGTGTGTGGTGCTGGAGATGGAACCCAGGGTTTTGCACACAGGAGGCAAGTGCTCTGCCACTGAGTGCACTGCCCCAGACTTGCTTCCTGCTTTCTTCTCTGCTGATGAGACTCTGTTCATGCTCTTCTTCTTACTGCACTCAGCCACGTGGTTCATGAAGCCAATTGTGTGAACACCTTTTCCCTGGCTAGGAATCAGTTTAAAATCTGTATGACCCAGTTGTAGTCTGTGAGAAGTCTACAGGTAGGTCCTGGGAAAGATTTGTTGTCCTAGAAAGAGACTTTTTTTTTTTTTTTGCAGTACTGGGGCTTGAACTCAGGGCTTACCCCTTGAGCCACTCTACCTGCCCTTTTTGTTTTTTTGTGACAGATTTATTTGAGATAGAGTCTTACAAATTATTTGCCTGGGCTGGCTTTGAACCTCAATCCTTCTGATCTCTGTCTCCTGAGTAGTTTAAGATTACAGATGTGAGCCACTGGCATCTGGCAGAAAGATACATTTGAGGGGAAAAAGACATTTGTTTGGAAATCATTGCATCTGTGTTCATGCCTGGAAATTAAGCAGTGATGGTGAAACTGTGAGGAGGAGCTGGCATGAGAAGCAAGGTAACATTTGTAAAGACAGAAGAACAGGCTTCATCCAGTGTCTTACACCTATAATCCTAGCTACTTGGGAGGCTGAGATCAGGAAGACTGAGGTTCAAGCCAGCCCAGGCAGATAGTTCTCAATACCTTCATCTCCAAAGATAACCAGAGCAAAATGGACTGGAGGCATGGCTCAAGTGGTAGAGTACCTGCTTTGTGAGCTCGAAGCCCTGAGTTCAAACCCCAGGCCCTCCCCCCACCAAAAAAAAAAGAAAAAGATGTGCTCTATCATTGAGGTGGGCCCCTGGCCTCCTGGACCTCCTGAAACAGAGCTCCTGCAGCAGGGACTAAAAGTAAGACCATCACAGCATGGTTTCACGAAGCTCCCTGAGACATTCTGCTGAAAATCACTCCACATTAACACTGCAAAAGGAACAGAGAAATCAGTTTTCTAGCAGCAGAAATCCCTTTTTACCATCCCAGAAGAGGGTTGTTGGGTTGGTAGAGTGGCTCAAATCACAGAGCACCTGACTAGCAAGCATGAGGCCTTGAGTTCAAACCAGTACCACCAAAACCAACAACCCCCCTGTTGTTATTACAAAGTCACTTAGGTGTGGGATATATTGACTGAAGCATTGTGTGTATATGTGTGCGTGTGTGTGTATGTGAAGGGTTTTTTCGAGATAGGGTCTGTGGCACTATTTGCACAGGCTGGCTTCGAAACTAGATCCTCCTAATCTCTGCCTCCTGAGTAGCTAGGATTACAGGCATGAGCCACCGGCACCCAGCCTGGAGTTTTTTTATTTATTTTTTTTGGTGGTACTGGGAGTTAAACTGAAGAAGGCCTCATGCTTGCTCTACTAGTTGAGCCATTCCACCAACACACTTTATATTGGTCTCCTATTTGTGCTTCCCCCTTGTAGTTGGGATGGCAGATACATATCACTGTGCCCAGAGATTTGTTGAGATGGGGGTCTCATGAAATTCTTGCACAGGCTGGCCTTGAACTGCAATCCCAATCTGGCTGAAACTTGCTATATAGCCCAGGCTGGCCTTAAACTGGTAATCCTCCTGCCTCCACTTCTGGACTGCTGAGATTACAGATTTGCATCACTGCACCTGGTACCTGTTGGAGGGATTTTGACTGTGATCTGTGTTGTTTGCAGGTAGAGCACAATCAGTACAAAAAGGAATTTTTGGCAGAGCAGGCACTCTACCACTTGAGCCATGCACAGTCCATTTTGCTCTGGTTATTTTTGGAGATGGGGCCTTGAGAACTAGCCATGTTGGGAAAGACAGAGGAAGAAAACAACATGAGATGTCAAGTACCTAGAGAAAACCTCTGGTAGCCTGATGGAGGTGACTAATGAGAATGAATTGTTTTACTGCCTGGTGAAGAGGAACACTGTCTTCTACTCCAGCCAAACCCATCATCAGTAAAATCTACATTACTCACTAATGTGTTACAAAAATGGACCCGGGTGCCGTGACAAAATGCTGAGTCCTTTGGTGGCATTGGATGAGAACAGTCTGCCCCATGGGGAGGTCATATCCTATGTTTCCATTCCCTCTCTCTCTCTCTCTCTCTCTCTCTCTCAGCATATATTAATTGTGCAAAGGGACTGCATCGTGAGATTTCCATCTATACATACAACATACTTTGATCACCTTCATTCTCTCCCCCTCCTTTTAAAAACAATTTTTAATGGACTTCATTACTCTTCCTTTTCCGTACACCCTTGTTTTCACATGGAGAGGAACTTTGTGCTACACATCAAATCCCCCATCATTATCATAACCATCCCAGCATTATTGGCTCACAGCCAACTAGCCAGAAAGTGGGACTCATTCCTGATATGCAGCTGGGCAAACTGAGGCTCAGAGACTGTGACCTACATGGTTGAGCTAGAAAAAAATGGGGTTGACATTCAAACTCATATCTGTTGGGCTGCAAAGTTTGAGCAAGAACTTAATCAGCTAGAAGGATACTCACGCACTTCCAATTCAAGGGGGGTAAGCTGTGGGCCAAAGGGCAGTCTGAAGACCATCACACAGCACCCCAAAGCAGTCAGTCACAGCCCACTGCTGCCCCACTAATCAAGGCTAAGATCTATCATGGTCACCGTCACACCTTCACCAAGGCCCTGGGATGGGTTGTGTAACTTCCCTTCTGCCAGCTGTGTGCTCACTCTCTGACCACAGACCTTAGCAGGAAGCTTGCATCCTGGCTGTCTTCTCCCCCAAGAGTTTTAGGGCAGTGAACAGAGTCCAGCTCCCCCAGACTCCACCATCCCATCCTGATCAATTAGACTGCTTTACTGATGCTAAAATGTGACATCAGGGAGCTGTGGGTGGCACTCAAAGAAAATGTATAATGTCCTTAACTTCTCAGAGGAGTCTTCTACCTCCATTGTTCATCAGCATTCTCCAGAAGTGCAGAACTAGTAGGAGAGATAGATAGATAGATGGATAAATAGCTAGACAGACAGACAGATGGACGATGGACAGATGGGTAGGCAGACAGATGATAGAAAGATAGATAGGGCAAAGTATGGTAGGTAGTGCCTGTAATCCTGTAATCCCAGCTACTTGGAAGGTAGCAATCAGGAGGACTGAGGTTCAAAGTCACCTTGGGCAAAAAGTTAGTGAGACCTCCACCTCAAGAAAAAAAAAATCTAGGTGCACACCTGTAATCCTAGCTGTGTGGGAGGTGTATGTAGGAGGATCAAGGTCCAAGGCTGGCCCCGGACAAAAAGTGTGAGCCTCTATCTAAAAAATAACTAAGAA